TTGGTGGTGGTCAGAATGGCCCCCACGTACATTTTCTTCTCAGCAGAGGTCCGTGTAAGCCAACTATTGTGAGGGAAATGGAATGTATTATTGGCCTGATATTGAAATTTCAAGACCTTACCTTTCAGATGCTTTAGTCCCACGAGGGGACGACTGCTGAGAATCACCTTCTTGCCTATTGTACAAACATCTGTAAGGCACAGCCACAGCCTGCAGAAATCAGACAGCGGGGCTGTGGGTCACCGCAGCTGTGGGTCACCACAGCTGTGGGTCACCACTGTTGGTCCCTGGAGCGAGGGAGGTTTTTCAGAGTCCATTGTCTGTTGTTGTAGATTCCTTGTCTTGGGAGTCGTTTGTCCAGCCTGGGAGCGATCCCCAGTGACCTACTACTGTCCTCATGGTAAGGGCGTTTGCCACACCAGCTTTTGGGAGACAGACATCAGAGGCAGAGGAATACTGATCCTCCACTGATGTTCCCCCCAAATCTTAGCCCTGTGAGGGCGTGGGTGCCAGGGTAACTGCCTTGTGTCCCGGGCATGCATTTGTAGGCTTCTGGTGGCCAGGGTCTCTCAGACCCCCACCAGGAGCTGCCAAAATCAAAGGGAGTGGCCCTTGGGATCAGCAAAGCCTACCCCGCCCCGGCCTCTGGCATGCTTTTTGATTTTGTTAGAAGACATAGATCTCTGAGTCAGAATGTATCCGTGTCTCAGGAAATAATTTGAAATATATTATTCAGTATAATTTGACTAATTTCAAAGAGAAAAGAAAAACAGGATTGACCAATGTTGCCTTAAAAACCTTGAATTGGGGTGCCTTCCTTTTTCCTTTTTCCCCCCTCCAAAAAGAACAAAAACAAGAAACAAGATTTGAATGAGCATTCATGAAAATATCTTGAATCATTAGCCAAGAAGACTCTCTAGTGCCCGCCCCCGATCAGTTTTATTGGTGAACTCCCACCGTGACCAGGTCAGGGAGATGGTTACGTGGTGTGTCACCAAGGGCTGCTCTCAAATACTGACGGTGCACTTACCCCATGGCGGGAGGGGAGAAGAGATGAGGAAGACCAAAGCAAAACCGCATCAGGGGTGTTGGGGACTCGGGACCTTCACATTGCATGGTTTGTTTGTTTTTTTTCTTTCTGGGATCTGCTTAGAATAATCTTTGTATTCAAGTTCATTTTCAGATCTTAACCCAAGCTGTCTTAGTTCTTCTGGATACCTGTCCTGATTTTAGCATTGAATAGAACAATGACCTAATTCATTTTTCTATCCCAATCTTTTTTTTTTTTTTTTGGTCTAACTTTTCTATTCTAATCGGGTTATTTTTTTAGTCTATTCCAATCTTTTTTTACATCAGCAGGTAAGAAAATCATCAAGACTACCATTTATATCAACCAAGTGAGCCACTAAAGCTTATAAATGCCCTTTGTTTTAAAGATAACCCATATGTAGTTATGTAAACATTAAAAACAACAACAACAACAACCTTATCACCTTAACTGCCTCAGCCCCTTGGTGAGGTGGTATAGCCATGTTCCCAGATGACATTCTATGTGTGAAGTTCCTTCTAAATCAGAGAGAAATGGGATTCCTTGATTCAAATCGCTGGTATACAAAGTTAGACTCATCAGTAGATTCAAAGCAATCATTACATTACATCTCCATATGAGACCACCTGATAGGTTGGAAAATGGCACCAAATGTTCCTGATGCTGTGGATCTGCAGTTCTCCACCAGGAGAGAAATGAAAACACACCCAGACCTAACCTCACCCCAGGCCAATTAAATCAGTCTTTTGGGTTAGGATCTCAGAATTTTTTTTAATTTTATTTATTTAAAGTCCGTTAATTAACATTAGTGTATCATTAGTTTCAGATGTGTAGAGTTCAGTGATTCATCAATCTCGTATAATACACAGTGCTCATTACATCACGTGCCCTCCTTAATGCCCATCACCCAGTTTCCCATCTCCCCACCCTCCTCCTCTCCAGCAACCTTTTTGTTTCCTAGAGTTAAGAGTCTCTTATGGTTTGTCTCCCTCTATGATTTCATCTTATTTTATCTTTCCCTCCCTTCCCCTATGACCCTCTGTTTTGTTTCTTAAATTCCACATACAAGTGAAATCATACAGTATTTGTCTTTCTCTGACTGACTTATTTCGCTTAGCATATGCAAGCTGGTGCAGCCACTCTGGAAAAGAGTATGGAGGTTCCTCAAAGTTAAAAATAGAGCTGCCCTATGACCCAGCAATTGCACTATTAGATATTTACCCAAAGGATACAAACATAGTGATTCAAAGGGGCACCTGCACCCCAATGTTTATAGCAGCACTATCAACAATAGCCAGAATATGGAAAGAGCCCAGATGTCCATTAACAGACGAATGGATAAAGAAGATGTGGTATATATATATATATATATACACAAAGGAATATTACTCAGCCATCAAAAAGAATGTCATCTTGCCATTTGCAATGATGTGGGTGGAACTAGGGGATCTAAGAACTTTTTAAAAGCTGCACACATATGCAGCCAGAGTTGAGAACCATGGTCCTCAGTAGAGAACAGTTACTGGAGGCCAGGACTGTATTCTGGTTACCTAGGGAAATGGGCTGAGTTGAGATACAAAGCGTTGAGTCTGGGAAACAGAGGAGTGATTTGCTTAGTGGTTGGTAGCAGTTCCATCACAGCATTCTGAGGCCTGCATGATTATCACTCTCATTCTGAAGAGACCCTTGAAAAAGATGCCCCCCCACTTTCAATGAATTGGAAAGGAGTAAAACCGATGTGCTTTCCAGCTTCTACAGATAATCTCCAAAACATCAGTCGAGGAGGGGATTCGTGCATATATGATATATTAATATTATTTAATATTTAGATACATTTTAATAATAAATAATACAGTTTATACATATGTATACAGACTGATTCATTTATTCATTGAGCTCCTGCCATGTCCCAGGTAAACACACTAAGGAAATTGTAAACCATAACAGCCATGTTTCCCTCCAGGGGGAACTGGAATGAAGTAATCACAAGGGAATCTAAAGCTAAGAAAGGGTAAGTGAGCTGCACTTGGGAACTTGCCCTGAGCCTGGAATATCTCTGGGGTGACTCATCTCGGGCACTGAAGAGAGAGAGAGTTTTTCTTCTGTAGGCACACGCCTTCCATGATGCTGGAGTATCTGATTCATCCACTATAACCATTGTCATCAGAACTGTTTCTGGAACTTTCAGAGTAGGTGGCACAGGCCTGTGTATCTAGTGAAGGAAGCAGAAAGTATCTGGGCTACCCCTTTGTTTGGAGGGTATGCTGGGAAGACTATCTGTTTACACAAAGATAGACTCGGGGTATTTTTTTTTTCTTGTGAATAAGTGACAAGCTGTGAATGTTCCTTTCCATGAGCTAGAAAGGTAGTAATAGAGAAGATCCAATGTTTACTTGTCCCCTCTGTAACCTTAGATTGAAGTCATTGAAATCTTCAGCCCATACATCAAGAGAATGGCACACACATGCCAAGGGACATGGGCTGAAATGGCAGGCACAGCTTTGTGAGAGGTGGCGTGCATGGTCCTATAAAGGGATGAGCCTCAGAGACATCAGGAGGTGGAGTCAGTTTTCACGGGAAAGGTGAGTGTGTAGTCAGAGCAGCGAGGAGGAATGACAGAAGCTTGTGTTGTGGACAGATGGGAAGGAGGTTTTGATGGCAAAGCAGGAGAAGAAAAATTACACAAGAACCAGCTGATAATTGGTCAAGATGAATGGAAGGTGATTGAAGGGGGCCCCCAGGTGTGCCACCATTGCTCAGTGTCCAAACCTTAGCCAAGGAAGGACCATTCATAAATATCTTTAAACACACCTTGCCTTTGTTCTAATGCTCTGCTATTTATAAAATGCCTGAGTATGCGTTAACTCCATGGACCCTCAAAATAACCCTGAGAGGTGTATTGAAATCAGTATGTAGATAAAGAACGATGATGACACTGAAGCTCACGGTGGCTAACTTGTCCAAAATCACACAGCCAGTTAAAAGACAGAGGCAAATCTCAAATCCAAATATTTGAGCTTCAAATACAGTAATCTGCAATGTCAAGATCCTATGGTACGATTGGGTCCTGGTCCCAGCATGTGCCTGAACATTTGTATGATTCCACACATATCATGGGACTCTCATGCCTTTGAAGTTATACTCCTCTCATTTCCTTGCATTTCTGCTTGTCTTATAAAGATTTATACTGTGATGCTTACACCCTCAAATATGCATGAGCATAAGGTAGAGATTAGGGTTTTTACAAATCTGGATTCAAAGAAATTTTATATTCCAACTTCCTGTACCTGCTAGTGCCTATAGAAATGACATTTTATAATGCCTGTCTCCCCTTTTTCTTCCCAGTCCATAAGAAAGAGTTTTTGAATACTCAGATGCCAAGAGCTGAGCCCAAGATGCTGATCATGTTCAGTGACAGGAAGTACAACTGCTTAAAAGTCTAACTTCTCTCTCACTTTTGGAAGTCAGGTGGAAAAAAAAAGGATTACTCTGACAGCACAGAATAAGAAAAAGATAGAAACAAGAAAAGGCCATTTTTCCTATAGAGGCTCATTTCATTCTTTCTGCCATTTCCCTGGGATATCTGCCAGTTGTTAGCAGGAAGAGTAATGTTACCCACTTTTTAAAAATTTCACTCTTGAGTATTATGGAGATAAATAGCTAAATGATGGAGAAATAACTTTCTTTCACAGCAGTAGTTTAAGAGGGGTAGAAAGAGCTCAAATGCAAATACGTTTGATGACATGAGAAAATTCAACCATGAATGAAAAATTCAGTATTTCTATAGGTGCTGTTTGAGAAAGAGTCCCCATTTGCATCAACACTAGAAAGGAGAGCCAAGTCCATCTATAAGAGTGAGGGGACTGCCTGTGGATATTAGTCAGTTTACTTGCAAGCCCCGGAAATTTTCCAGTTGCAAACTTATAAAAAAAAAGGCCTATGTTCCATTTTGCTGCAGGACCAATGCAAGAGACCATCTATGACTTCTGGAGGATGGTGTGGCACGAAAACACCGCAAGCATCATAATGGTCACCAACCTCGTGGAAGTGGGAAGGGTAAGTCGGCTCTCCACATACACCGCCACGTGTTCCTTGCTCAGCTGGTAACATGAAGTAAGGCAAGAATAGGCTTTTGAAGTATCATGTGTACTCCAGAAATCATGAACTACTGCACTGCCTCCTATCGCTTGCTGCACTTGCTTATAAATTATCAGTAAACATAGACTGAATTGCTTTCATTTGTTGCGATAGCAACAGACAGGAAAGGCACTCAAGATTTAAAAGCAGTTGTTATCTGGCTATATTGAGCACACAAAAACACCTCTAAGCACGAACACTTGTTGTTGGGTGTCAAAACTCAATGGGTGCTGCATTAGACACGACTGCATTCTAACTCGGGAAAATTGACTCTAAAAACAGTGTACAGCACTGGGTGCAATCATTAGCAGGGCATTCCCGCATCTCCTCTTGCTTACTTTTTCCTTTCCTGGTCCTCTGTTTCTTAACCTGTAAAACAGAGATCATCATCTGCGCCCAAAGTCTTGTACTACTTTGTCTGGAGGAACTGGTAATGAGAGCTATTTTTGTTTAACCAGGAAATGCTTCCATAGTTATGACCTCGGTAGTGGTGGGATTATTTCCAAAGTGAAATTTAAAAATGAGAAAATACACAGGGTGCAGTTGCTTTGTTTTATAGTAGCGTCCATAGCTCTGTTCCACTCAAGAACCCTTTACTTCTTAGAGAAGGTTGACCTTCTGAGATTGACCCTCAGCAGCAAGGGAAGCCTGGAGATTAAGCCTAGAAGTGAAACATGGGGGCAGACGCCATCCAGGGGTTGTTCCTTAAGATTCTCAGTCAGCCTTAAAAAATGAGGAAATCCTGCCATTTACAACAATGGGGATGAACCTGGAGGACATCATGTTAAGTGAAATAAGCCAGTCACAAAATACATGATTCTACTTACATGAATTATCCAAAATAGTCACATTCATAGAAGCAGAGGATACCGTGGTGGTTGCCAAGGGCTGGGAGGAGGGAGAAATGTGGAGTTGATGTTCAGTGGGTACAAAGTTTCAGTTACACTAGATGAGTAAGTTCTGGAGATCTGCTGGGGAAAATAGTGCTTATATAGTTAACAGTATGGTTTTGTGCACCTACTTTGTTAGGAGGGTACATTTCATATTGAGTGTTCTTACAAAAATGAAACAACAAAGGGACACAGGAAACTTGGGGAGGCATTGGATATGTCTGTTACCTTGATTATAGTGATGCCATCAGGATGTACACATATGTCAAAACTCACCAAGTTATACCCATGAAGCATTGTATGTTGTAATTGTATATCAATTATACTTCAATAAAGCTCTTTCCAAAAAAGGATTTTCAGAAGTATCAGGAGATGCAACTCAAGAAGAGAGACATTTAGAAGTGGGAGATACTTAGAATGCTAGCAAAAATAGCAAACTAAATAATCTGAAAACCCTCGTCCTACGAACATCTAGAAATTCTAGATAAAATATAAATATGTGTTTTCATATGTTTGTATGTAATATATGTATAAATCACGTGTAAATGTAAATATATATGTTAAAAATGTTTAGCTTAGCTCTCAAAAAAGGAAACTACTAGAAACCAGAAGAATGAGGACCAGACAGAGAGTGGACACAGCCACTATTCTCTGGAGGCTGGGTGGGGAGGGTCAGTCTTGGAGGGAGTGGGGGGCGGGCCTCAACCTTCACAATCATGGATCTTGGGTTTTACAGCCCACTGAGAACAGGAGATAATGTCTTAGGCCTGTGCAGGACTAGGAATTTGAACTGAGGCTGCCACAAAAGGTAGACACTCAGAGAAAGGACTGTCCAGGGGAAGGTGGAGGGAGGCAGAAGGAGGAAAGCCAGCCAGGCACCAGAACCGGGAAGTAAAAAGGAGGTAGATCAGTCTTCACTGAGGATCTGGGTGAGAAAGCACTTCCACCAACGCATGGGTCAAAGTAAAATGCCCTGATATAAATCAGAACATAGTTCGAACCATGAATAAAGAAGTATCAGAGAGTAAACTTATAGGGTGCAAATAAAATAGTACCTAAAAGGATGTATATGTTTTAAATGTTGTTAGAAAAGGAGAGAGACTAAGCATCTAATTCAAGAAGATATGTGAAGAACAGAGTACAACTAAAGAAAAGAGGACATAATAAATAGAAGAGCAGATAATTATTAAGTAAAAAGCAAAGAAACAATAATAAAAAATCAACAGAATCAAAAAGGCTTTGTGAAAAGATTCATGAACTAGACAGACATCTGGCAATCTGAAGTAAAAAATAGAAAGCCAAAAGCTCTTGATATTTGGAATAGGATAAAGATTCTTTTATCCTAATAGATAATATAGTAACTAACAATAAATTTGAAATTGACATAAGTTAGGTAAGTTTCTTAACAAATATGATTTTCCAACACTTACTCAAAAATAAACAGAAATTCTGAACAGACATTAATTTAAAAGTGAATTATGGTTAAAAACTGACCCATGGAAAAGCACCAGTCCCAAATGTATTTACAGGTGTGTTCTACTAAATATTTCAAGGAATGGAGAATCTGGATCTTATAAAAATTATTTGAAGAGAAGAGATAAAGCAAGACTGCTCCCCCACTTTATTTTAGGAGACTAGTATAACCTTGACATCAAAACCAGACAAGGACATAGGAAAATAGAAAATTATAAGTCCCACAGATTGGGAAGAGAGAAACAGACCAACAGGTCAAAATAGCCCAGATGTTGATTATGGCCATATGTGGAGAAAGCATGAGCTTCGCAATCAGTTGAGTTGGGACATTTGGTTATTCATGTGGACAAAAAAGAAAAAATCATAAAACATCCAAAAATGAATACCAAATAAAGCTTTAAATTAAGCTTTAAAACTTAAGTTAACTATAAATTAAGCTTTAAAACTTTTAGAAGAGGGGCACCTGGGTGGCTCAGTCGTTAACATCTGCCTTTGGCTCGGGTCATGATCGAGCCCTGCATCGGGCTCCCTGCTCCACAGGAAGCCTGCTTCTCCCTCTCCCCCACTCCCCAAGCTTGTGTTCCCTCTCTCGCTGTCTCTCT